GAGGTCAGGATGGATGTTCTTGTCTGGACTGGAGGGTCAGGAGCCCCAAATCTGGGCTAGCTGGAGGTCCCCGTGCAGTACGAACAGACTGGGGTTAACCCTGGCTAAAGGAGGCGGATTTCAGACAGATGACTGTGAATAGGCCAATAGGCCAACTTCCTCATGGTGCAGATGGGAAAACAGAGGGTAGTGGGGTGTGGCTAGACGTGAAGGGGCGTTTCTGACACTAGTCCCCACAGCTACGGGCGTTTCTGACACTAGTCCCCACAGCCACAGAACCCGGGGACCATTGCCATGCATCCTACACCCTGATCATGACATTTGGTCCTCCTGTCTCACTGCCTTCTTCCCTGGCCTCACTCCAGTCCTGATAACCTTGACCTACATGGGCTTGATGGCCTCCTGGATCCTCCAAGGGTCTCCTCTGCTTGTGCTTATCAGCTGTGGCCTCACTGGCTGCCTCCTCCTGGCTCCTTCTGTCCCTCTCTCTCCAACACTTCCCCCCAAGGTCTCATGGCCTCTTTGCAGATAAAGACTCAGGAGTTCAGAGACCTTGTGATTTGTTGTCCAACTTTGAGCATCAAGACCCCAGGGCCCAAACCAATCTGTCCGGTTGTTTTAGCTCCCAAAGGGAAGGGGGAGGGAGCCATCTCCATTTCCTGTCTTCTGTGCTATGCATTCATGACAGAGACCTGGATCAGAAAGGAACCTTATGGGGCTGAAGATGGTCTCAGTTGAAGAGTGTGGTCCTAGCATGCAGGAGTCCAGGGTTCTACTCCAGCACCCAATAAGCCAGGACTCATCCCAAGGATGCCCAAACCACTCTGTCCAGGCTGTTGAGTTCCCAAAGGGACGGGGAGTGGGCATGGTTGCATTTCCTGTGATCCTATGCATTGGGAGGAGGAGGATGGAGGGTCAGCAATTCAAGGTCATCTGCAGCTAAATAGAGAATTGCAGGCCAAAAAACAAACAAAAAACCAAAAAAAATGGAAAAACAAAAACAAGCAGAAAAAAAAAAGAGAAGGGAGAGGGGGAGAGAAAGAAGAAAAGAACAAAGAAACCAAAAAAGAAAAAAGAAACAGGTGAGTCCACATAGGCAGGGCTTGCTACAACAGCCTGTGAACACTAGAGGGCGTGGAGTGACAGAAACCCTGTCTAGAATGCTCTGACAGCCAGGTGATAACAGGGACGACAAGATGCCAGTCCCACCCCCATCCCTATAAAAAAGCTGGGCATGGTGGCACACACACCTTTAATTCCAGAAAAGGTCAGCCTCGTTTACAGAGCGAGTTCCAGGGCAGCCAGGACTGCACAGAAAAACCCTGTTTAGGAAAACAAACCAAGATGTCAGTCCCAAGCTTTGCCCTTTTGTTGGGGAAGTCCTGTGTATCTGTCAATAAAGCACTGTTGGCCAATAAGGAAGCAAGATAGGTGGGACTAGGAGTCCAGGAGGATGCTGGGAAGGAGAAACACAGGAGTCAGGATGTAACCGCGATAGGGATAAGAAGCCCGGAAACTTCCCTCCAGTAAGAGAAATACTTAGATTAACAATTATGGGATAGATACTTAAGTCAGAGCTAGCCAGTAAGAAACCAGCAAGGCCAACAGCTTCATTATTAATACAGCATCCTGTGTATTATTTGGGGACTACAACGCGGCCGAGCCCAGGAGACTGGCGGGGGATAAACCAAAGCTGCTGGCAAGGAAAAGGCTTCATTTTACACCCTTTGTGACAGGCTACCTCATTTGTCCTCACAGTAAAACCAGAAATGAGACGTCTCAGTGAGATTCCCCATTTTACAGTGAGAAACAAGCGTGGTGTGCAGTCTCCACATCAGAAACCAGAGTCTGACGTTGAACTTGGGTCCTTTCCAGGTGGGTCTCTTAAGCCCCTTGAGATCTATGAAGGACTGACTGCTCAGAGGTGGGGAGGGGAGTCTGCCCCTATGCTTCCTTCTAGAATGTGTGTGTATGTATGTGCAGGGGCTCTGGGGGCTAGGGAGGAGGAGATGAGGAGGTAGCCAGGGGCTGTGGGACTAGCCATGGATGCAGGGAGGTCCTGTCTGGAAGTCCTTTTGTAGCTCCTGGCAGGGTTGTTGCCCTGGGAACCTGCCAGGGCTATTAATACCCTGCTGAGTCAGGGGGCTCTTGAATTGCAGCATCACAAGACACAGAAGTACCCGGGGCGGCAGGGACACTCTTGACACCTCACACCTGCATGTCCTCCTCAGGCTGTGCCCTCTGTGGTAAGTGGAGGCCGGTACCCTACTCAGGGCTATCCCCAGACAGCAGCCCTAAGAGCTCTGGTGCTAAGGTACAAGGATTATTCTCCTAGAAATTGCTGTGTAGAGGGCCTGCTGTGTGCCTGCCCCTGTCCAGGAAGCCAGGGGTCCTATGCCTCAGCTCACCACCTGCCTACCCAGGGCTCCAGTCATAGCGGAGTGGACTCCACTCCAGGCTCTGTGCTTAAGTCGTTGGAGGTACATAGCATTAGGTTCCAGGGACTCTGTCACTCTGGGGTAGGCGCTAGTTGATGGGGACAAGGAATTCCCACGGGCCAGCTGTGACAGTGGATGGGTGGGCAGGGAAGAAAGCATCTGCGAGGCGGGGTAGAGGGATCGGGTCCCCCGGGAACGGCTCTCAGCTCTGGCGGCTTGGACTGTGTAGCCTTTGCTGCCGACTTTCCCAGACTCCAGGAACTTGCCCAGCTCTCTGCCACCTTCCTGGCGTGGTTGTTGCTGGCCTTCTGGTGGCCTTGTGAGAACAGGCTTACTCCTTGGCCACCTGGCTCACGGCTCTGTGAAAGCTGGGAACACTGACACCTGCGGGGCAAAGCCACCTGACACTAAGGGGTGAGAGGGGATTTGAACTCAAGCCTAACCTGGTTCCAGAACTCATGCTCACGTATACATCCATCATCTTATTAATTAATAATAATAATAATAATAATTATTATTATTATTATTTTGGTTTTTCGAAACAGGGTTTCTCTGTATTGTTTTGGAGGCTGTCCTGGAACTTGCTCAGTAGACCAGGCTGGTCTCGAACTCACAGAGATTTGCCTGTCTCTGCCTCCCGAGTGCTGGGATTAAAGGCGTGCACCATCACCACCTGGCCTAGTTTTTAATAATTATTAACTAAGAATAATAATTATTATCATATTCCAGCCTGGCTCAAATCCGCTATGCAGCCAGGGATGACTGAACCTCTGGCCTCCAGCCCCAGCTCCTGAGTGCGGTTTTATGAGGTGCTGGGGAATCAAACCCAGGGCTTCGTTCAAGAAAGAGAGAGACTCTGTCTAAAATAAGGTAGGGCGTGACTGAGGAAGACATCCCATACCAGCCTCTAGTTTCCACATGTGCACAAGAGCAAACGCGAACACACACACACAACACACATGCACTGTGTGTGCATGGGAACATGCATACATCCCATAGCCCCCCTTAGATGAATAGCTAGGTACGGTGACTCAGGCCAGCGATCTCAGAGCTCAGAGCGAGGGGAAGGGTACCCAAGTAGAGCCCGTGATTTTAATAGCGCCCTATGGGAAAAGATGCCTCCCCTCCACCCCCGCAGGGTCATATCACTGACTCAGACCCAACACAGTTGTTTCGTTTGGGTCTGGCACTTGGGTGTGCCCAGCTGTCAGAGGCTGTGATGCAGGCCGGAAACACAGCTGCAGCAGAAGGCTGTGGAGGCATCAGCTGCACTCTGTCAGCCGAGCCGCACAACCCAGGCCCTGGCTTACTTTTCAGCTGGATCTCACTCTTTAGCTCAGGATACTTCCAAACCTGAGACCATTCTGCCTCTGCCACACAACCGCTGCCGTTCGGGGCCTTTGCCACTAGCCCCAGAAGCCCACTGCTGTTTAAGTCAGTCATCCAGGTGGTGTCTGCAGGATCTGATCACGGGTCAGTGGTGGCACACGTGAGTCTCACACCTGGCATGCTCCTCTTTTCACAGCCTTCTGGCCTCTTGCCCTGGGACCCTTTGGGGACCTTGCCTCCCTCCCCTTCCTCCCTCTACACCACACATAGGACACAGCCTGTGCTAAGCTCCCTGCACGTGTGACCAAGGTCTGGGCCTCTTTCTCAGCTCTGGTCCAGAGCTGTTGAGCGAGGCTTCAGCTCCAAGGCCCCTGCAGAGCCCTTATCACGCAGCCCCACACATCCCAGAGAGCCTGGGACTGGCAGCCCACCCTGATCCCAGCCCCACACAACCCCTGTTATCAGGGGACACATTCCAACCCACACTTTCTCCTTCTGCACTGGGTAAGATAGAGCCTGTTCTCTTCCGGCCAAGTGGGAAGGGGCACAGGAAAGCAGAGGTTATCTTAGCAGGAAGCCACACTGCTGGGTCTTTCTCCAACCAGCTTGAGAAAACACCTTGGGGCTGCCCTTTGGGACAGCCTCAGCCCAGAAGGTGGCTGCCTCAGGACCCCTGCTGGGGCTGAGGTCAGGAGGCTGTGTGTCTGTTCCCAGGAGTCAGGAGGTGGTTCCTCTGACCGGGGAGGCTCCTGAACACCTTCCTCAGTGGCCTGGCTTGTCCTGACACCCAGCAAGCACGTGGTCTGTGTGTATGTGGGGTCCTCAGCACAACTAGTGAGGTGCAGAGCAGGGCTGCTTCAGACAGTAGCCTGTGGTAAAGGTTCAAGTGTGTGCTCTGTAACCTATGACAAGTGCGGCCCATCACCAAGGGTGGGAAGTTTGGAGACGTGAGTCAGAGCCTCAATTTTATTGTCCTTTTCTTTTCCTTTGACAGGGTCTCACATTTGTTGTTCTTGCTGTCCTGGAACTCGCTCTGTAGACCAGGCTGGTCTCGAACTCTCAGAGAGGCACCGGCCTCTGCCTCCCGAGTCCTGGGATTAAAGGCGTGAGCCACTATGCGGAGCTTCAATTTTCTTTTCTTTGTTTCTTTTTTTAGATTTTATTTATTTATTATGTATACAGTGTTCCAGAGGGCACCAGATCTCATTATAGATGGTTGTGAGCCACCATGTGGTTGCTGGGAATTGAACTCAGGACCTCTGGAAGAATGGACAGTGCTCTTAACCTCTGAGCCATCTCTCCAGCCCCGATCTTCAATTTTCTTATACCTAAGTTATGAACAATGGATGTTCATGTCTTAGGTATCAATGTCTTGAGGGGCTTAGTATAGAGCCTGGTACCTAGGCTGGATGTGGTGGCACACACCTATAATCCCAGCACTTGGGAGGCAGAGGTGGGTTCCTCTCTGTGAATTTGCAGGGCGCTGCACAAACTGTGGACACTGTTGGGTTGACTGCTCTACTCTGCCTTATCAAAGTAAGGTGAGTTCCCCCAGGTTCCTCCTCCACAGAAAAATCTCTCAGACCTGGGTTGGTAGTCCAAGGCCAAAGCTGTCCTGCGTGGTAGCTGGAGACCTACAACCAGTGGCCCCAGTGAAGCCATGGAGACCATGGGAGCCTAGGGCACCCTGTCTAGGTAGTGGTAAGCCTCTCATTTTAATTGACACATAGGCCATTTGGATTATAGTTCCTCCTCAGATCTCTGATGGTGTTGGCATCTAACTGTGACTCCATCAACAGCCTGAGCTTCCATGCCTATCACCTATTCCTGAGGGGGTAGAACCAAATATAAAGTTTCCTTTGAGTTCTTTAACTTCTGTCCCTAGTCTGTGTCTCTTCTGGCAGAGTGCCACTCAGCTGGCAGACACTGTCCAGAAATAAGCTTCCAACTACAAATGGCTCCAGAAGTGATTTGCACTGTCCCAGCCCCAGGTAGTTCACAAAACTGGAAAGCCCTGGGCTTGCTGAAAGCAGACGTAAACCAGTAGATGCCAGTGCTCCCTGACTCTTCGGCTGGGTCAGTGAACCAAGGCTTCTGATGAGTGCCCCATTCCCTCCCGGCCTTTGGCTAACATCCCAGCCTTCCTGAGCCCTGACAATGGTGTCTTAATTTCATCCAGAAGTAGTTACAGAGGAAAATACAACATCCCTTGTTCTTAACGAAGGACTGGAATATTAAGTCCAAGGATATTCCCTGGCAAAGGGACAAAATGGCTACCTGTAGAACCTGTTGGCATACCAAGAGTATATGGTCTTAAGATATTTGTTCTATCTATGCTAACCAAACAGGTACAACTTATGAATGAGTAGTGCATCTTTTGATGCATTGCAAATTTTGTTTCCCCAGATAAAGAATGTTAAGACCTTACCAAGGATTTGACAGAGACACACAAGACAGGAGAGAATGAAGAACCAGCCTGCCTCCATCTTGGGTGTTAAAGCCATCTTACAGTAAAGACAAAGTAGGTTCATTCCTGTTTATGATTAAATCTCTGTTTCTCAAGGATTGGGCTATGCCCCACCTAAACCTTAACTACAAATAGTTCTAGACTGTCTGTTCCAGGAATGGCAATCATGTCTTTATTTTAAAAAGTTGTTATAATTGTCTTGCAACCGTATCTTTGTTTCAAAAGGTTGTTATGACTATCTATTGTTATGACTATCTATTATTATTATTATTTTTGGTTTTTACGAGACAGGGTTTCTCTGTATTGTTTCGGAGGCTATCGGTCCAGCCCGGCCTCAAACTCACAGAGATCTGCCTGCCTCTGCCTCCCAAGTGCTGGGATTAAAGGCGTGTGCCACCACCGCCCGGCATGACTATCTATTATTATGCCCACCTTGTTATGCCCACCTTGCAACCGTGTCTTTGTTTCAGGGGATCAGGGCCTTGTTATGATGTTCTGTTCCTGTAACCCCACCTATTTTGCCACCAAATCCCCCATTTGAAACCTCTACCTGAACTGTGAAAGCCATGTCTTTCTCACATCCAAGGCTGACCTCTAGAACCTCACCTTAGGGGGAGGCAGCCCGAGGACACAAATAAAAAAGCTTGTTTTAATTAATTTGGTCATGATTTGGCTTGTTGTCTTTCTCCTCCTGATTTTGGATTAACAAATCATGTAGGAGATCATGAGCACACCTTTAATCCCAGCACCTAGGAGGTAAAGGTAGGAAGATCTTTGTGAGTTTGAGGCCAGCCTGGTCTGCAGAGAGAGTTCCAGGACAGCCTCCAAAAGCTACAGAGAACCCTGTCTCGAAAAACAAAGACAAGACAAGACAAAACAAAACAACAGCAAAACCTAGACAAAACCCGAACAGAGCCACCCCAAGTCAAAGCATAGGGTCTGGTTGTTGGTAAAGAAACAGTTCAAAATATTAGGAAGGAAAAAGAATCACAAAACTCTACAGTTTTTGTTGCTCAAAGTTTGCCTTCACTTTTCCAAATTCAGAAAAAAAAATTGGAAAGGACTGACCAGAATATTTTTGCCTTTGGTGTTCCTGAGTAGATTCTATTTTTTTAATAGTGAAAAGGAATTTGTGCATAACCAAAACACATAATAGTAATCCAATGATCAAGTCATTTCTCAGAGAAATTCTCCCTGTTCCTGCCCAGGCTCTCAAGAGACTTACTGCACATCTGCAGACCCAGGGCGCAGAGCTAACAGAATTCCTTTTTTCTAGCAGAGGGAAAGGAGATGATCCAGGTCATTCTGGAGGGCAGGTTAGAGCCCCCCCCACCCGAACTCCCTGACTCGAATCTCAGGGTGCCCCAGGACCCTGCTCACAGCCATGCCTCTGCCACCCCTCCTGGGTGGAAGGTCAGTGCTGTGGGCCAATTCCACTCGCGTCCATAGCAGAAGCAATGCCCAAAGGAGTAGAGGCAATTTGACACTCTGGATGCTTCTCTCATGGACTCCCCTCTCCAGGCCTGGTCCCTCTGGGTCTGGCCTCTGCCAGACTGCACAGCTGGGCTGTTGGTGGGAGGGACATTCTCTGGGCCCAACAGCTCTACAGCCTTCTCCCAGGAGGCCATTCCTTTCCCACCAGCAAGCTTCATCCTGGGGCCAGGTTCCTTTCTTCTCTCTCTCTCTCTCTCTCTCTCTCTCTCTCTCTCTCTCTCTCTCTCTCTCTCTCTCTCTCTCTCTCTCTTCTCTCTCTCTCTCTCTCTCTCTCTCTCTCTCTCTCTCTCTCTCTCTCTCTCAGACGTCTCACCAGTAGCTCTGGCTGGACTGGTACTCACTATGCAGGTAGACCAGGCTAGTTTGATGTATGTAGACCAGGCTAGTCTTGAACTCAGATTTTTCTGCTTCTCTAGTGCTAGCATTAAAGGCATGCACCACCATGCCCATCTTTCTTTCTTTCTGGTTAAAAATCAGAAAGATGTATTTATTCATTTGCTTATCTATTTGTTTAGTTAGTGTGCATGTATTTTTGAACATACCATGGCAGGTATGTGGAGGTCAGAGGACAATTTTCAGGGCTTGGTTCTGTTCTTCTACCATGCGAGGCTTGGGGATCAAACTCAGGTCCTCAGGCTTGGTGGCAAGTGCTTTTACCCACTGAAACATCTTGCTAGCTTTGGGGCCAGGTTATTAGAAGCCACAAACTGGCCAGGCAGTGGTGGTGGCTCATGCCTTTAATCCTAGCACCTGGAAGACAGAGACAGGCAGATCTTTATGAGTTCAAGGTCAGCCCTGGTCTACAGAGTGAGTTCCAGAACAGCCAGGGTTACACAGAGACCTGTCTTGGAAAAAAAAAAGCACCATAACTGGGTGCCTGGAGTTTTGTGGGTCAGGGGAGCAGTTGTGAGCCAATGACCAGAATTTGCAATTCTCCTGGTGACCCTGGTGGCCTTAGGACTTGTGATGTGTGTGTTATGCATATGTGAGATTTGTTAAGTACAGGACACTTGAGTTCAGAGTTCAGAACATAGCTCAATTGTTAGAGTGCTTGCCTGGAATACATGAGGCCCTGGGTTCAAATCCTAGCACAGTGTAAACCATGCATGGAGGCACATACCCATACCCAGCACTCCACACCTAGAGGTAGGAGGATAAGAAGTTCAAGATCATCTTTGGCTACATAAGAAGCTGGAGGCCAGCCTCAGCTACATGAGACCCTGTCTCAAATAAAAACAGTACACTGAGTCAAATTGAACTTTAGATAAGCAAATCATTTTTTAGTGTATGTTCACCACTTTGCAGGCTGGGTTTTTTGTTTGTTTGTTTGTTTGTTTGTTTGTTTGTTTTAAGACAGGGCTTCTCTGTAGCTTTGGAGCTTATCCTGGTACTTGCTCTGTAGACCAGGCTGGTCTTGAACTCACAGAGATCCACCTGCCTCTGCTTCCCAAAGTGCTGTGATTAAAGGTGTGCACCACCACCGCCCAGCCACAAAGGCTGGGTTTTTATTATATCTGGATGGACCTAAGAATGCATGTAACCTGTGTCTTCAGGAACATGTGTAAGTGTGAATTATACACTAGGACAACAGCGTGGATGTATAAACATGTGTGGCTTTAAAGACAGGAGTACATGTGCACAAGAAGGCACCATAAGAGTTTTCCAGTGTGTGGTTGTGTGACGTGCATGTAGTCATGTATATCTCTTCAAGCGTGAGCATACGTACTCACATTCACATCTACATGCATGTGTGCTCAAGCACATGAAGAACTAGACACAGGAGAATGGCCGATGTGCAGAACATGCAGACAGGGACCCCTGCATGTGAGTTTACATAAGAGAAACACAAGGCCCTCAACCAGCCGTGCTGTGTGTGCTTGGGTTGGGCAGACACGAGGATGGCAGGGCTCCCTGAGCTCTCACCTCTGTTAGCTACTGTAGCGTGGTGTGATCTTTTTCTCAAGCAAGGAAGAGTCAGATGGAGGAGAACCAGTGATGGCTGGCTGAGGCCAGTGAGGACCAAGTGCTCACACAGGTTACGCAAAGCCTTGGTCCAAACAGTGGCCAGGTGTCCCGTTCAGTCCTTGCTGAGCCAGATGGCATTGGATCGTGGGGTTTGCTAGTTCCTGCTGCTCCCCTCCCTTGCCCTTTCTGAGTCCTCCACTCCTCCTACTTCCTACTTTCCACAGCATTTGTGCTTGGCTTGGTTCCTCCTGAGGCTTCATTCAGTCAGTCTTTGGCTTGTAAGGAGGCCACCTCCTCTCTTTGTATTCACAAGGTGACTCTCTTCCTGTGTCTCCATCTTTTTTTTTTTTTAACTTAATTTTATTTTCTTTGTGTGTCTCTCTCTCTCTCTCTCTCTCTCTCTCTCTCTCTCTCTCTCTCTCTCTCTCTCTCTCTCTCTCTCTCTCTCTCTCTCTCTCTCTCTCTGTGTGTGTGTGTGTGTGTGTAGAGTCCAGAGGTAAGCCTTGAGTGTCATTCCTCAGGACTGCTCACATTTTTTTTTAGTCGGAGTCTCTCACTGGTACCTGGGGCTCCCCAATTAGATTAGGGTTGTGATAGCTCGTGTCTACTTCCTCAGCACTCTGGGATGTGTAAGCACCCGACACGCCTGGATATTATTTTTATGAGTTCTGGAGCTAGAACACAGAACTTCAGGCTTGTATGACAAACTTCTTATTTCCTGAGCTATCTCTCCATTTCTGCTTTTTTTGTTTTGTTTTGAGACAGTTCCTCTGTGTAGCCCTGAATGTCCTGGGACTCACTGTAGACCAGGCTGACTTTGATCCACCTGGCCCTGCCTCCCAGATGCTGGCATTAAAGGTGTGAGCTTTTGGGTTTATCTGTGTTTGTTTATTTGTTTGTTTGTTTTTCGAGACAGGGTGTCTCTGTAGCTTTGGAACCTCTGGAGCTCACTCTGTAGACCAGGCTGGCCTCAAACTCACAGAGGTCTGCTTGTGTCTGCCTCACGAGTGTTGGTATTAAAGGCGTGCGACACACCACCCAGCTGAGCTTTTGGTTTTTTGAAACAAGGCATTGCTGTATGGCCCAGGCTAGCTTGGAACTCCATGATTCTCCTACCTCTGCCTCCTGAGGATTGGAGGACAGATGTGTGCTACCCTGCTTGGAGTGTGCAGATGTCTGTTTTAAGTTCCTCTTTTCTAAGGACACTGTCAGTTTGGATGCAGACTACTTGGTCATCTCTCTTGAAACACGTTCTCATGCTGACGCCCTCAGGTCAGGACGCCAGCAGGTGAGTCAACCCGTTAGACCCCTGACTCCTTGCTCTTGAGGGGTTTTCTCCCAGCCCCGACACTGTCACCGTGTTGGCTGTGTGTGTGCACAGGGTCTTCAGCTCCACGTTCTTCACAATAACAAATCCCAACTTTACTGAAGATCAGATGATATCTCGGAGCCAAGAGTTCAGGGGTGACATCTTTAGTCCTGGCTTCAGTACGGAAGCATGGGGTCAGGTCACATCTCTGAAGCTAAACCCTTTTGCTATCTCATGGCCCAGAGCCATGGAGCCAGGAGGGCGGCAGGGAGGGACAGGTTCTGGAACATCTGGTGGCTTGAGGTAACCTCAACAGCTCTGGACCTCACTTTCCCTATCTGTGAAATGGGGTCTTGGACTGCATGGTTCTAGAGATTTCATGGCCTGCTGTTTGTTGGTTATTTGAGTAAAAACGACATCGAAGCTGGTGGCCTCTTCAGCACTGGGGAAGGAGGAGACCGAGGTGTCCCCTATCTGTTTCCTGTGGCCACATACAGATTGCCACAAGCTTCATGGCATAAAGCCATTCACATCTGCACTGCCACTCTGCGGGACAAAAGTTCACACCACACTCCCAGCTCGGAGACGAATTCACGGTCTGTGGCTTGTGACCCCTCCTGTACCCTCAAAGTCATTCTCACATCTGGGCACGCCAACATTTCTCACATCTGGGCACTCACTCCAACTCATCCACGTGAAGGGTTCTTGTGACCTGTGGGCTTCCAGAGACATCTCTACTGTTAGTCAGCTGCTCTGCAGCCCTGTTCCATCTGCTGCTCAGATCCATTTGCCTTACTGCATCAGAGCACCCCAGGGGGAAGACCTTATAAGGGGGAAGAGCTTATAAGGGGGAAGAGCTTATATAGCAAAAATGCCCTCCTCACATTTG